TGGTCCTTCCAGCAAACATCAGGGAACTTAATGGAAGACTTTGATTTATTCTCAGAATCCCAGAAGTGGAGTTTCAATGCATTCTTTCTAAGCTTAATGTGTTTGTTCCAACTCTTTAAGTTTTATTCAGAAGACCAATACTCACAGAATGTAGAAATGCAGAGTACTTTTATTCAGAAGAGTATCTGAAAACAGTCAATACAAATTCTTCCTAAAGTTAACAAAATGAATAAAGAACTTGACTGTTACTGTTAGTGATTTACTATGAAATCTAAAGCTGTTGATGCAGTTAGAAACAGTTCTTATCATTTATGGAAATTTTAATTTACGCATTTAAATGTCATGCTTAATGTCAGCTTTATTCCACTGGCTCGCTCACTACTGCTGTGGTTGTGTAAGAGAAGGGACTGAGGAGTACAGCAACGAAGTAATGTCGATAACCAGCATCATTAGCTGTGAACACCAGCTGGAAAAAGAAAAATCAAATATAAGACAAGTGAGAAGTGATCTCGAGATATGAGCCTAGATGGAACCATTGTGATAATTTTATACAACCTCCCACAAAACTTTGGGAATATCTTGTCTTGTGGTGATTTGATCAATGTGATCTGTTACTCAAATTGGTGTTTCCTTGTTGGCAACAAGATTGTTTTCCTTATTGAAGATCTATGTTGAACCCCATTGCTTGTCTTTATTTAAGAAAAAGGGCATTTGCATGTATTTGTAGCTTTTTTGTAGTCCTAATTAGACATAGTGCTACTGTAACTATCATCAGGCCAAAATATGAGGCAAGAAGTTTCTTTAATCCTACATACGTATCTAATAGATGGAGAAGGACTGCATTAGTCCTTTGGCCACAACGTGACCATAACCTTATGTATGAATCATTTACATCAGACCTTTTCACAACTTCCCCATCAGCTCGTGTCCTGTCCTTTGATTTTTCTCTCCATATAGTAGGTCATTTCATGTTGTAAGACAATAGGTGTCAACTTTTAAAATAGACACAGTTTGATAACATTCAGTGACACATAGCTTGTGCTTCTTTCAACATTAATAAAAAAGATGCTTATGAAACAACCAGTGAACTAAGCAAACCATGATTCCTACTGAGGCTTAATTTTAAGAAATGAGACTCTTGCACTCTGGATTAAATTCATTTCTAGTCTGCAATATAGAACGTTATCTTGATGTATAATCAATTAACTTTACGTGCTGTAAATCTTTCATCTTGCCTCTTTTATTTCAGTTATCACAGAGGCCAAGACTATCCAGCATTAACCTTCATTATTGTCTAGAATAAGAACATCATCTTTCATCCATTTCAGAGTGGCAGAAACAAAATTTAACCCAGATGTTTGCCAACTTTTTTCCCAAAAAAGGTGAGGAATGGCTGTTGGAGCAGCAGTTACAAACTATACAGCTAGTGATGCTCACTGATCTGTTGCAGTCCAGCAGACAACTGATGCAGGACTGCTGCTATGTCATGTGAAAGGGCTGATGGTGTGGAGGGGAAGGGGACAGCCCCCAAGGAGTCCCAAACCCTGCAGCTGGCCTCGGTCAGTACCTGGTTTGGACCACCTTCATCTGACTAATGCAAAATGCAAATTAAAATGCGTGTTCTACTTTCTGTTGTAAAAAGAATCCAAGCATCCAGAACACAGTTCATACGGCCATTATTTTTTTAAAATCTAAATTATAAAGTTTCTCTGCAGCTGTAGAAATACTGGATCCAAAAGGCAGAAAACTCCTTTTCACAGAAGGCTCAACAGAGTACATACTCCACCTGTTCTCCCTCAGGTGTCAGAAATAGAGAAAGAATCATGGGCTTAAGTAGAGGTAGAAAGATGGAAAACCTCTTCCTGAGTAATGCATCCAAGAGCTTACTGAGAGTTATGGGGGAGCTAGTAACTAGATTATCTCATGAGTGTGCTCTTGCAAAGCTTTGAGACTGTGGATTTAAAGTGTTAATGCAAAAATATTCTAAAGTGAAACAAAAGTTCAACATGTGCAATTAGTAATTGAAGCCTAGACATATAAAGCGTCTTTATTCTTAGCAACTAAGTACAGGAGGAAATTAATACTCACATCAGCATGATGATGGAAGGGATTCAAGCCCAGTCTCTTCCAGTAAGAGGCTGTGTCAAGCTCAATCTTGTATGTTCCTGTTACAAATTGTTCTTTAGTTGTGAGATCATGGAGCTGTCCGTTGTCACTGGTTTGTCTGTGAGATGGGAAAGAATGCACTTTTATATTTTGGTTAAAAGCCTGAGAAAAATGCAGTTCTTAGCAATTGAACTTGAGTGATGTGTAGCTTAAGTAACATGATGAATACTTCCATTGATCTGGAATGGCTTATGTCCATCTGTATTATGGATGCTTCAAAGCTTATCTTGGCATTTGCTACTTTCACGATGGCCACAGCAGATGGCTGCCTGCCATGTCACTACTCTGCATGGTTTGGAGGTGAGCCAAAAGATGGTGTTATTGTTCATAGACTCTTGGCAGAGGCTTGGAGTTAATTAAATGAACCCACTCGCAGTGAAAACATCACCACTGCTGAAAGCAATGTGGAAGCTCTATGATGCACTTACTGCGCAAGTAAACAGTGTCAACTCTTGATTTTTCCAGAGTTTTCTTACTTTTTAAGTACATTGAGTTGTTTTATGAGTATGAATAGTTTTTACATTTGGGTAACTGGAATTTGAGATCTGCTGTTTGAGATACTGCAGGTTAGCCAACAGCCTTACAGGATTCCCTGTTGTTTGTATTGATCAGTTGGTTTTTCCATCCTCAACAGACAGTTTTGTTTTATTTGAAGATGTTATCAGTACTATCCAAGGCTGTAGTATTGGCTTGAAACTGCAGACCTTTGAACACTATCCAACTTGAGGCTCCAGAACCAATATTGAATGCTGTCTCTCAAGCGTGTCTCTTGGTTGAAACCTATTACTGTGAAATAAGTTACATAAAACTAGCTTTTTTATTGAGCTGGTTATCCACAAATAATAATGCTGCTAGTGCCTGATTTTTAGTATTCACAAACCACTGTTCTGTGTTCTAGCTGCCAAATCTTTTCTGAACATATATTCAAATTGCATACAGAGAAAAATAATAAACTGAATGTTTTTATGTCATTATTCAGTGCATTACTTAAGATTTGTGCTTTAATATAGCTTGTAACTACGAAGTCTTAGAACACCGTTCGTATCTTACAAGGTGCTCTGTAGTCAGTTACCAGGTTTTTTTATCTGTTCAAATGTCCCTATTTTTTTTCTTTGGTATAGATTGATCATTGTTAGATAACTGTTCATTTCTCTAATAAGCTTTCTCAACTAAACCCAAATATATCTTTAACTGAGAACAGTTATTTAAGAATCCCTTGCTAACATTCAATTATTTACAAATAAACAAGGCTGAAGAGGTTGATTTAGTATTATCACAACTTTTGCATACTTCATGTTAAGGTTACTTTGTTCTTTGTTTCAAATGTTAAGTATGTTTTAAAGGCTTCAGTCAACATCCAGCTGTTCAGCCCAGTATCTTTATATAAAGCCTTTAAACTCACATGGGAAGATAAGTGAACTGAACACCTTCTTAATGGAAAAATCACACAAATTTCCAGTGTGTTCCAATGTGTGAAGCTATTTTCTCACTTGAGGGGTTGGAGGCAATTTAAGTAGGACAACATGAATAGATTGTTCTTCCCCCGCCCCCTGTGTACAAATACGTGTAGCCTCTGTAGCTATATTTTTCAAGGACTCACATGAGAACAGTTGCTTCTGCCAGCCCACTGCTCTGTGACACCAAAGAGCCACTTATGTACAGTTTCTCATAGACTTTCTACAAATGCATCTGAGTCTGGGATCCCACTATTGAAATTCCTGCACTATGCCAGCTTTAGCCTTATCTCACTTTTTTAGGTAGAATAGACCATTAACACACCTGAAAAGAGGGTGAGACTGCAAATATCTTGGGCAGAAAAGTGTGAAAGTGGGATGTCACTTGTTGAGAAGAGAAAGAATGTTCATTCTGTGTACCCCCTAGGAATTGTTTCAATTTCATTTCACATTATACTTTAAAAATTGCTTTTGAGTTTTTAAAATGTAGATATATATTAAAATTGACAACTTAAAGAAGTCATCTACATTTGAAATTCTACAGTTCCAATTTTTTTAAAAGATGGCAGCATTTAAACATCTGGGAGATTCTTTTTCTTGTTTCAGATGTAATTGCTTCTCTGTGGGAGAGGAGATGAGAAAGGCTTATCCCCGGATTTTCTCCTTTTGACTGATTCATTTTCCTTGAAGCAAAGGTGGCTATCAAATATGATGTGGTGTATGTTCAAACCAGTTTTGTGTTTTCTTCTCAAAGCTGTAGTCTTGTATGAAATGAAAATCCATTTAGAAAGAAGGAAAACAGACAATCAAGGCAGGATTTTAAACCAGGGTCTCCGTTTCAAACAAACTAGAAGAGTCTGCCTGATTCTTGTGGTAACAAAGCAGCAGTTCATTGGTGGGTACTAAAAAGTAATATAATCCTTTGTAATGAACTCAGAGAGAAGCAATGATTGAATTAAATGATAGTTTAAAATACTTTCTTGTGCTTGTAGTAATTATAAAGCATTATAAAACCATTTTGGTAGTTGAAACTGTAGTACAGTTAAAAGACTGTCTGCAGCAGAGTCATTCAATAGTACGTTACCTTTCCTCTGAGCAAGACAGACACCTTATATTAGAGAAAGGGATAACTGGCCTCTTCCCTTCTTTCACCCATTATTTTGGTATGACTTACTTGGAATTCAGAAGTACCCAAGATCCATCTGCAGCTTCTTTATATAACTTAGTTGGAACATTTGGAGCTGGGCTTCCTCGGACTGAATCAAGAATTTTTATAGAAAGAGGATGCTTGGAGTCAGCTGAGTCCTTCAGGTAGGAAGAGAGAATTTTTACATCCAAGATAAGTGATGGTGCATAATAAAGCAGTAAGGAATCTTATTCGTTAGATCTACAGAATATGCCATAGTTTCCTCAACAAGATCACTGTGTGCTGCAGAAATGTAGCCTGAAGCTTTCTTGGGGCTGAATATGGTGGAAGTGGGGATTGTAGCCACATGCACTGAGGAGACACTGTGGCTGTGTGTGAGAACACGGTACTGTTTTCTCCTTGACATGGCTTAGCTACACATCATCTCCAGCATGAAGTTGTAACTAAATTGTGACCTCAACAGGAAATAATGAAATCATCAAAGGTTGTAGGAATGTTTAAATATCTGGCAATGCTTCGTCTCTGTTTTGGAATGGCAATTTGAGCACAGCTTTCTGGATTTTAGAACCTCTGATGTCTTGTTGCCATAGAGTTATCTTAATTCTGCTGTAAACTTGATTAGCACTACATAAGGACTCTCTCCTAATGCCATGTTGGATCAGATTTATGCAGGGATAGGAGAGGAAAACCTTCCTTCAAAGATGGGGATGAATGTCTGTAGTTTCACTCCTAACCTGTTCATCACAAGCAGTGGTTATGCCCTGATGCTTTACCTTTCCAAAGGCAGAGTTGAATCAGGGCTTTGACCTTCAATTACCTAATCCTGTAGATGAAAAGTGAGATGGGAGAGCTTTGTGGAAGGTGTTAATCAGGGATCATCTCAAAATAACAATCATTAAACTCTATTTAACTCTATCATTATAAAATCAATTGTGTTGCAGATGTTAAAACTCAAGAACCAGCTCTTACATCCTCTCTTTCAGTCCATGATACACTGAACAACCCATTGGCTAGATACCCTGCCCAGTATCAGACCAATGTATCTATACCACCTGTATGCCCTGACTCCTCAGGCTCCCTTTCTGGAATGCACAGGCTCCTTGCTAGTGTTTCTTTTGAGGCATTAGCAAGGGGAGCTTTAGTGTCCCGACCTGTTTTCCTGGCTTTTCCCCCCTGGGAGCCCAATGAAAGTCTGCTTCCTCACAAAGATTGGTCAGGTACTCATTTTCCCAAAGATCAGAGCTTGAGAGGAAGAATGAATAGGGGAAGAGAGAGAGAAATGAGTATGTTCTAGGAGAATTTTGGGCTGGAGTGTCTCTGTCTTCAGCTCGCTTTGCTGGAATAAATGAACCCTTTGGAAGTGGGATCCTGGCTTTGGCTCTGTTCTTTGCTTGCATCAACGACTGTTGAGATCCCTTCTTGCAGAGGGTAGAGCAGTAAGGGAGAGGACTGTGGAAGGCATTTCCCCAGCATGGGTCTCACAGCCGGAAATTAAATACCTCAGGACAGGAGCTTGTTCATTGTGTTATAAGGGCTGTTATTTGCATTTCAACAGGCCCAGGACTTTTGTGCAGTGAATGAGATATTTTTCCTTTTGTCTCTCACTTTATTTTTCACATAGTTGCTGAGTCTAATGACAAGTGCTGCTTCTCTAACCCTAAAGCCCTCTCACTAATCAGCAGAGAAGGAGAAAGAAGGACCAGAAAAAGAGCAGTAGGTGAGAACAACAGTCAATACATACCATAAAATCAAACCAATTGCAATTAAATGGAACATTCTATTTTTTACTTACACTGATTAAATTATTTAAAAAAAACCCCAAAACCTTAGAACTACATCAGTATGAAGGCTGATTCAATCCTGAGACACTTACCGGTGGTGCAGCTTCTGAGAAAAATGCCAGGCTGGCTAAGAAAACAAGAAATATGGAATGAAAAGCCATTTTGCCTACCACTAGGAAGTTTCAGGGTCAGCAAGTAGAAATTGGTGGGATCTGTGATTTTTATATCAAGGCTTCTAAACTGAGGCTACTTATCAGAAAACCCGTATGACTTTCAACATGCCAATTCGTACTATTTACTTAGTAAACAGTGAGAAAATAAGTAACCCATACAAACATGAACCTTGTCTGCAAAAATAATTCTATCATTGCCTGTGGAAATATTGTGAATATTGCCCAGCTCAACTGCAGTGACACGTTTTCTTGGAAATAATGTCCATTCTGTTTTATTTTTCTCTTTGTTGAGGAATAGTGCTGGATGCATCGCATGTAGTTGAAAGAAATACAAATTTCTTGGCCACTCAGCAATTTGAGCTTCAGTGAGACTTTTTCTGTGGTCACAGCTTGGCTTCATTGACTCACCCATGATTGTTTTTTACGAGATTTCTCTCTGTGGTGGCCTTGTCCCCACTTCTGATAAAATATAAGTGGATAATGTGTGGGCTACCTAGTTACCTTATGCATTCCCCTGGAGGAAAAATATGTTACTATTTTATTGCTATGATAACAAGATACCTACATACCCATTTCTGAAGCACAGTTAAACAATGTTTTAAGTCCTGTCACTTTAGTTGTGCCTTAGATTCAATACAAGTTCGGGACCTTCCCTGAACAGCTGCAAGTCAGCCCCCACCAGAAGTCTGTGCTTCATTTTAGGGAATTGTTACTTCTTGAAATTAAACACTATCTTTCTGATCTTTGCTTAGACACATGCACCTACGCTCTCTTACTCTGTTTATCCTGTGCTCAGGTGGATAATTACATATAGAGCAGGTTTTTTGGTTTCGGGTTTTGTTTGTTTGTTTAATGACTACACCATGACTGTATGAACATATTTATGTTCTATTTTCGGAGCTGGGCATAGCATACTGCAAATCAAACCTACTGCTTTTCAAGCTCTAGGAATAGTAAGATCCTATGAAATCTGCATACTTTAAGATGGGTACTGTTTTGTAACTATTTGCACTGCTTACAAGAGTTGTGTAACTGCAAAAGTGTCCAGAAATCAGGGAAAAATGTAACCAAATAGCAAAATGTTAAAGCCAAGCTTTTGTAACTTGTGAATTCCCTTGGTATGTAGTCATCCCAGCAGGCTCTGGGTGCAGAGATAAACTTCAAGGTCATGGCAGATCAGTGCTGACCATTTCTGAATGGCATGATTTCAGTAACAACCTCTGTAGTTTCTGTAATCCTGTTAAACAACAATTTCTCTGCTTCAGGATATTTTAGACACAATAGGCCATCAGTCTACAGAAATCACTGCTAAAGCCCTCAAACTCTTTAGTCAGTTTATCAGCATTGTTTGAATCATAGTCACTCTATGGCTTACCTTTTACTGTTTCTAAAAGTAGAAAGAGACTATTGAGATGATGCTTCTATTTTAGGAATTTTTGTCATAAAAAGATTTGTCTTATTAGAGATTTAATTAGAATGTTGCCAATTGGGTTAAAGATCAGAGTTGTTAAAAAGGGTGCTAATTGAAATTGCACAGAACTTCCTAAATTGATTGGGCAGCAAACTTTCCTCTTGAAACAGCGGTTGAGGTTTGCCTCAACTTTTTCAGTTTTAAGTTATACAGATTTCAACTCTTTCAGCTCTCTGGATAGATACATTTCAAGTCTTTCTGCATTGTTTGTTCTGTTGTGTGGTATTCAGAAGTTCTCCTATTTACCCTGTGACCTAGTTGATAGCAGGACCATCTCTTCTGTGTGTAAACTATGAGTAGCATGGATAACTTTCTTATTTAGAGTGTGTCTGGTCATATTTTTTAAGGTCTCACAGCTCTATAACTTTTTTTTTTTGAGCCAATCCATTTGGTGAGGCCTTTGAAAGGTATTGGAGGAAGATAACAGACCCAAATCAAGAGTTAATTTGCTTACATAGGCCATGTATGGCTTCCAGATGTCCTTTGCACTTGAACACAAATCATGACACCTTAGAACACAATAAAACTTCACCAATAGAATCAAAACTGTTTTAAAGTAGTAACATTTTATTGACTTGTCTGAACTGTGCCAGGTTACAAAAAGGAAAAAAAACCCTAATGTAGCAAAAAGTTACACATTAGCAGTAGGAAAAACCTTCCTCCTAAAAGCCTATGATAGTTCTAGTGGACGAAGGTGTCTATGTAACAACAGTATATATTTATTCCTGGGGATCACTGACAACAGCAGTGGTTGAATAAGAGAAAGGGCTGAGGAGAGCGGCAATGGTATAGTGGCGGTGGCCGGAATCATTAGCAGTGAACACCACCTGGAAAAGAGAAAACTTGTGATCACGATCAACAATGTACATTCAAAACTACCTTATTAAGAAATAGGAAGCACACTCCATTTCCTGTGCAGAGTACTTTGCCAGTTCTGTCCAGTCAATGGTTTTACCCTTCCAAAGGGTAATTCTCCCTGTTACCTTGTGATGCTTGCTGAAGACTGAGACATTTGGGATTTGGACTGAGATCCACAAAGAGCCTTGGCTGTGATGAAGCTTGGTGGAGATACCCACACCTAAATCAGGCAGATTTGTGACGTCGGATGGGAGGATGAGAGGGAGGTATCTCAAATGACCAATAAGAATGACAAAGAGGTGAAATCCCATCTAGGGAACTTAACTACAACCTCTGTGTGAGGCGACCAAGCAAGGTAGGCAGTTGGAGCCCAAAGCTGCTTTCAGTGCCTGTTTTTAACATAGATGGGTCAGTTCTTGTCACCTGGGTTAAGCTCCCAACTTTCTTTGTCTTTCTTCAGCCTAATATTTGATCTATTTTCTGAACCGTCGTGTACTTTCTACGAGAGTACTAGAGAGTTCTCTCCTACATCCTGGTCCTGCCAAAGTCCAAGCTGCTGGGATATGAGGAGTTGTAGGCTTCAGTAACCTTGTACACATACAGTCATTGAACTCTGCCTGCTTCCCGGGCTAATTTGTAGACCTGTAGGCTATTACATCAAAGGAAAGCTTCTTCATCAGCCTCGCTGGAACAGTCTCAACCAGGCACTTTTAAACACCTTTTGAGGTGAAGCTCTTCCGTAGGCACCAGAAACTTTCAGACATACAATAGGGAATATTTTTGATTTCTTTTTTTTGTTTTTATTTGACCTAAATGACCCAAGCTGCACCTCAGACTTCTGTGGAGCTGGGCCTCAGTCATTTGCTTTAGTCTTCCACAGATCTTCATAAACTTGTGATTTTAAATGTTCTACAACACAACCTGTAGCAATTCCAGGCTACTTAATTCGAGGAAACTTAAATTTAATGGCAGATTAAGCTTGAAGAATTTAAACAATTTTTTTGAAGTGCTAAGTAAATGTAATAGAATACAGCTCAGAATATATCAGCATAGGACTGAAAGCAAAGAGAGGCACAAGACGTGATTACATTGCTGGCCTTCTTATGAAATTTGAGTATTGATGAAACAGCCAACTTTTCCTTTCCCACTATGGTTATTTCTTTATATATTTATGCCTGTTTTTTCTATTGCATATTTCAGTAGTGAGCATAATTTTTTAAAAAATCACATCAGAAAAAGTTGTTTTTTCCTGTGATTACAGGTCATACTAGAATTCAGGGATTTTCAGGTGACTGATATGGGGGAAATAACTATGATTAAAGAATAGCTTATTTCCTTTCTCTTTTTTCTTTTTTCCCTTGTTTGTCTTTTAAACACTGTGTAATTTTGAATAATGTAGCTCTTTTTGAACAAAGATCCCTACTGATCTGAATGCGTAAATGGGCACAACTCCATTTTGGAAGAGCTATGACAGTATTTGCAGTGAAGTTGGCTACTTCCTTTGGCTTAGCTGGCTATATTCTGCCTTTATTTGCCCAATGTTATGTGGCACTGAACCATTTCACTGAATGATGCTGCTCCTTCAGTATTAAAAGGCTGTATTTATTCTTTCCAGCTGATGCCACTACACAATATGTAGGTTATTAGGTATATTTGGAAATACTTACATCAGCATATTCATGGAATGGAGAAAGGCCAAGTCCCTTCCAGTAAGAGCTGGTGTCAAACTCAACCCTGTATATTCCTTCTACAAACTGTTCTTCTGTTGTGAGCTCATGGATCTCCCCATACTCCGTTGTTTTCCTGTAATGGTAAAATAGCTACATAAATATTTTATGCTGTCATTTAGATGCTAAACAGAAACAGTCAATCTGGAATATTAAATAGCAGAGGTGCTACACAGCCAAATTATACATTGAAATGTTTCTAATAATCTGAAATAATTCCCTCTTTCTATGTAGTGTATGCTTCCATATTGCAGAGCCTGTCCTTGCTACCAGCTTATCCATGTACATCACAAATCAAATCTGGCTGGCTTTTTTTTGTAATTTCTGTTGCTATGGCAGGGATTATAGTTAAGGCTCTTCTTTTAATATCATGTTTAACTTGTACCAAGTGCCCTCTGGAGCCAAATGCTAGTGGCTTGGGAAAAGGATTGTCATTATGAAAGGCAAGATGCCAAATCTAAAATCATAATTAAAGAGAGAAGAGAGATTTCAGTGGAAAATTATTTTTTTCTTTAGTTATTAGCACTGAAGCTATAGGTTTTACCGTTATACACTGATGTGTTTGTATGTGACCCTGAGTGGTAGTGTCCTGGAACAGCAATTTAGCATCACAAGATTTTATTAATTTGAATTACAAGGCCTTGGTCAAAGAGCAAGGGCCTTTTCCACTGGTGCCATGTAAATGAGCAAAAGGTATTCCCAGCTCAGAGAGATTATGTACTCAGCTCATAACAAAGAACTGTGGGTGAGTGAAGTCCAGAAGCAAGAAGGAAATATAAGTGGCATTGTACTCTATTTGTCTGAAAAGAAGCAAGCTTTGCATGACATCTATTTAAATATTTACATACTTAGCTCCTAAAACCCATTTCTCTCTTTTCCCTCCTTTTATTTTAGTTCTGATTCTTTTCCATTTTTTTCTGCTGAAAATATTT